TCTTAAAGATGTTTTTTGAAAAAACCCCTCAAATGACAAAACGGTTTAAGCTTAAAAAACTTATAGAAAAATATAGACCTCGGATTCGCATTCAGGGTGGCGAATAACATAGGGATATAGGGGTTTGGTTCAATATGCAGAAACTTGGTTTTTGTAAAACCACTGTTATTTAAGAAAATATAGTTGATTATATAATATAAACCATATAGATAATAGTTTCACACTTTAATTAAAGTTCACAGAAATTCAAAATAAATTGAATCAAAATTTTCAACTTTTTATAGAGAATTTATAGAAAACGCAGTTTTGTAGCGCATTCAATTATAGTCTAATGAAGTGCAAGTTTTAACCGTTGATTTTTGAGCATTTTTTTGGAATTTCCTATGAAATAAAATGCGATAGACCGTTAGCAACAAAATTAAAAAACAAAATCTACGCCAGTTTTTGTAAGTTTTTGTATAAAAAAACTGCAAAAGTAGTCTCAAAAAAAAATCTCAAAAATCAACGCGATTCTTTAGCCAGTAAGGGTTACAAAACTGCGCATTCGAAAATTTTCTAGAAATTCTGAATGAAAAGTTTAAAATTTTGATGAAATTTCTTTGAATTTTTGGGAACTTTATATAAAGTGTAAGACTTCGATTTATACGGTGTATATTATAGAATGAACTATATTTTCATAAATAATTTAGGCAAACTATTTTTCATTAAAATAATTATGAATATAATATTAGAACAAGGTCTTTTTTAACGGACGTTGGGATAGGGAAACTATCCAATGAAGTGACCCTTGCGAATCTCTTCAAAAGCCGCCTCCCCGGAACCACTCGCGCATTACATCGGGATGAGGCAGTGTCATAAAAATGCGCCACGTCATAACGCTCTTTCGATAATTCCCCGTCTAATTATTTGATTAGTGGTTCAGGAGCGTTCTGGTGTTCACAAGGTTTTCCTGTGAAGAAAATGCAAAAAAGAAAAGAAGATAAAAAGAAGAAATTATTAAATAAAGCAACTTCAACTATTTCCTCTTTCTAAGCGGCGGCGTTGCTCTCTGATCCTTGGCTTTGTCATTATTTCCCTACTTACATTCTTTAATGCGCCCAGACTTTTTTATGGTTTAACGTAAGTATGTTCAATGATATTATCCGTACTCAGGCCCTCTTGAGTCAATGTTCTTAATCTCTCTCTCTTTGTGAAAACGATGGGCAATCGAAAAGTACATGTTCAGTAGTTTGCGGTATTACATGGCATCAAGTCATCGTGACGTTAATAGTGCAGGTTGAAAACAGCCGAGGCCACCGATCACCATGCGATCTGTTTAGCCAAGCATGCGACGGAAAGTCCAGCGCCTTTCGAGGCCTTTCGTCCCCGATCTCGGATTTTGAGAGGGCCCTGCCTTTTGTTCGCGTCGTCATATGTACATATATGTGCGCTGGATTTCGTTAGCCAACAAATCGGCGGCCATACATTATAACTGATTCAGTAACTTTCTTAACCCTTTTTCTACGAATTTGACTTGGAACGCCTACATTTGCCATCAGTCTAGCTAGTCTAGCTAGTATAAGGTGTACACTTTCATTTGTCGCACAGTGTAGGTATGTGTTTGTGAGTGAGCACAAATAAATAAGTACTCGCATCACAGTGCAGTCGGTCTCGCATCAGTGTTGTTGTTATTCGAACGTATAGCGCTCATAGTGGCAGTATTGGCAGGCAGCATGGCTAAAAGCAAACAACTTGACACCATTGCGGCTATGTTATTTTTACTTAATTAGCAATTTGCAAGACAATTCATAAAAAGTTGTCTGAAGTGGGTTAGTTATAAAGTACTAAGTATTTGCTTGCCAATAATGTCAGTCAGAAGATCAAGCGAAGGATAACTATTACCAACAGGTGCCACTTTGAATAATTTGGTAGGAAATTGAAAACCAAAACCACCTACCGATTAACGAAGATCACGTTCTACAAAAAAAAAAACTCTCATCATACCAGTCTTTTTATATGGCCCAGAAGCGTGGACGATGACGAAAAAATTAGAGCAAACGTTGGGTGCTTTCGAGAGAACTGTTACTACGCAAGATCTATGGCCCTGCTGCTCTCGCGGCGACTAGGACCGAAGAACTTGGAATGTTGAACTGTACGAGCATTTTAGTGACATGGAAATAGTTAAGCGCATAAAAATAAAACGATTGCGCTTGTTTGGGTATAATGTACGCGTGAATGAGAGGCTGCTGTGAAAAGATCCTTCGACTCGGCACCCATGAATGGACAACGGAAACAATGGCGCCCACGAACAAAATAGAAGGGTCCGTCTGTACTCGGGATGAACAACTGGCTAAATCCGCAAATGACAGAGGCAATTGGTAATGTTTTTTTTTTTTGCTTAAATCGACTAATGGTTGTAGTTTTAAATAAGAAAATTTTCTTACCAAAACAGAAAACGTAAACTACACACATTACTTAATTGCGTGCAAAATAAGGACTAACAAATATATAGAATTCGTATTGTATTTTTAACCTTAGCCACACAAGGCCTCTTTCCTTGAGCTGACAGTTAAATAATTATGACTATTTTACTTAAAGATTCCGCACCTAAAAACCCTGCAAAGTCACCTTATACTTACTTTTGAATGACTCCTATCTTGTAATTTTTCGTCATTTCTGTTCAATCAGTCTCAAGAACCGTTTTACGCACAAAAGCCTTGCCGTTCCCATTCAAACTCTACTCACTTGCTTCTGTGCGTAAAAAACTCAAAGCCAGCCTAATTGCACTCCTTTCTAATTGGAAAATCTCCGCCTACAGTCCAGGCCAGCTAACTTCCCAGCCTTCGATGCTCGCGCCAGACGCCCGCTCACTCACTCATTCATTCAGTTTGCACAGCGCCGACTTGTGGCTTGAATGGCAAGTGGTGTGCAATCTGCTGCATACTTTCTGGCGGCGCTTATGAATGTTGCTGTGTCTGCATGCAAAGGTCACACACTGAGGCTGCAGTGAAAAGCATTTCACTTCCCTGTGGGGAAAATCTCTCGTTCTGAACTGGTGCGCTTCTAGTACATTTAGACCCAGTACTGGTTTGCGATAAATCTCTTTTGCATGCAAGCAACTGGCGAATTTAACATGGCGATGTCCTAGGAAGTGTCAATTGCCCCCGCTGCATCCCTTTTTCGATAGTTCCGAACTAGTCCTAAATTCTATAGTTCCGAACCAGTTCTAAAATCGACAGACGAAAGAAAAAATGATCATGATTTTTCATTCTTTTTGGTTCTTCCGTGTGTGCGATTTTAAGTTATTTTGGAAGAAATGTGTTTTCAATTTAAAATTTTAAGAAATGTACATTTACATACCTTTAGCTGTAGCTGAGTTTGCAGAGGTGCTCGCTTCTTAGATTTCAGACGGTCCCAAGATGTTGAAATGTTAACACAAATTTTAGTTTTGTATTACCAGGCTATGAAAAAGCATCTGCGAAGCGCACAATAGAAGCGTATTTGAACGAAAAAGCCGCCGAACACATATCTATGTAAAGTAAACAAGCCCCCCGCTGCATCCCTTATTCGATAGTTCCGAAATAGTTCTAAATTCGACAAATAGGATCTAGTTCGTTCTGCATCCTTTTTTCTATAGTTCCGAACCATTTCTAAATTCGTGACTTTAGACTAGTTCCTTTTTGGCGATATAGACCTAGTACGGAACTAGAAATTTGATTCACTAGTCCGCGGTTTCCCTGCAGGGTCGCTTCGGTTGTAAACGTGTGTGTGTGGTGTGGTGAATGAATATGCAAGGCAGCACAATTTTGTTGGCATTCCAAGTGAACTGCGCATAGCCGACCTTTGTGAAGTGTATTGCACCTGCTATTGCTGTTGTTGCTGCTGTTACTTTTGAACAATTATTTAATTTGAGTAGTCGATTAACCCACCTGTAGTCATTAGGTTGCCGCAGAGCGCACGTTTGGAATTATCTAAAAAAAAGTAGGCAAAAGAATTGACGCAATGTAAGGCAACAAACGCGTACGTACCCTAAATGTCCGTCCGAATTCGAGGAGTCACGCTACTCAAATTCCTATAGATGAGTGGTATTCACTACTGGACACAGCAAGCAGTGGGTCAGCGATTGTTTGCACGAGCGATTGCAATGCCTTAGACGTAGCTGTATAATCGCGCCGACTGATTGGAAATGAAGCGGCAAAGTTCATATTGCAAGAGCATGCAATGGATGTGCGAGTTAGAGTTAGCCTGTTGATTTGAATACCGCTGCGAGCAGAAACTTTTTGTTTTGTATTGTTGCTTGCGCTGCTTTCCTGTAATCCGCGGAGCTAACTATTCTTCTTCAGCTAAATTTCATCGATTTGTTTGTATTCGCAATGAAGTGACGCCGGGCGACATTATTGACTTTCGCTTAGTGGCACTAAAGCGGCAATCAGAATGCGTCCGTTTCATACGCAGTGGACGTGCGCATACATCTGAAATGGGTGTACACTACATAGAGAGCGCCAGATTGGCTACTTCTTCACTCAAAATCTACTCAACCGATAGTTTTATGTGTGTGCGTATTTCCAGCTGAGATTCACCTTCACCTAAGTAATCTTGGTTGTCGCCAGAACGCGAAAAAGAACCTGTAAACATTACGGTTTGCTTTGTTAACTTTAATCTAAGCCAGATACGCAGATGCCTTATGATTGCCCTCAGTTCTAAGTCGTCTTCTAGTCTTCTTCTTGACACTGAGACTATTCCTCAAATCCACTTAATAACAAAAATATATCGACTAAAAGGGAAAAGAATTTCTTTTTTTTTGCAAGAAAACCTTTATTTTCATCAAACATTTAACAAAACAAAAATAAAAAATTAATCTACAAAAGCTTAATGTTTTCATCGTACTATCGACTGGGCGGTGTCCCTGTTTCTAGGCCCTTTTTTTCATTCAGATTGATTGTGATGTGCTGCACGAGCAACAGCTACTTACTTTACACACATACATACATACATAGTATTTAATGATTTTCTTAAGTTTCATTTTATAATTAAGCTTAAAAAGTTGATAAAATTTTCTTAAAATTACAAAAATTTAGAACTTTTTAGCAGCACTTCTTCAGCACTCAGCGAACTTCGAACAGCGCGCATTCAGCAATTCAATAGCGGCGCGGAGCAGCAACAACCCTGTACTTCAGCGGGCGTGCAGCGGCGCGTGCTGCCAAAGCTTGACGATATGCGGCCGCCTTTCGCTGGCGCTGCTGCAGTGCAGCAGCGCGACGGGCAGCAACCAAACGTGCCTGCTGCTCGTCCAAGGGCGCAGGGAAGCTCTCAGCAGCTGGATCAGCGGCGGGCACATCATCGGCAGCGACAGGCAAATCAGCGGGCAATTCGTTGCCATCGACCTCGGGTGGGCCGTACACCTCATCGGGCTGGTTAGCCTCTGGTGGGCCATAAACCTCGTCGGGTATATTGTTTGCGGGTGCGCCCTCATCGAAAGGCACCGCGGGTTTCAATTCATCGGCAGAGGGGTACGGGGTGACTGCTGGTGCCTCGGGCACGGCGTCGGCAACCTCCTCTTGGCGCGCAAGATAGTGGGTGCGTGGACGCTGGTAGCGCGCTGCCGCAGGACGATAGTAGACGCGTTGGCCGCGTTGCTGAGGTTCCGCTCCGCTGCTGGCAATGCAGGCGATGAATGCGAGCGCGGCGCAGAGTACGAAAATTTGCAATTTAGTCATTTTGCCTTGTTTTGTTGCGAACACAAATGTGGAGTGCGAAGAAGTTTTTATGATTCGTTTATTTTTCGAGGATAATTTTTTTTTTCGAATTACAAAGTTTCGCGATAGTTTTAATTCGAATTGTGCAATTTAGGAAAGAATAGTCTGTGTGTGACTGACAGTGCGAACACTGGGAACTGACACCGAAAACCATTGGACACTTTGCTTTTATACGCTGCTCCGCCGCGGAGCTGTTGCCTCGAGCGCACGTCCATGTGCCAATCGCTTAACAGTTTAGCGTACAGGAACTGTGTGGCGGTGCGGGCATCCTTATTTGGAGCAGCCGCCTATGGTAAAGTCGTCGCTTATCCACCTGCCTGACAGCATTTGAGAATTATGCTGATTTTATGAGAAGACGTGACGAACATTTGCTAGCAAGCCAGTCAGCCCAACTATAAAGTTCTGTGAAGTTGGGAGCGCGCGTGGCGCGGAGGCGTTGTTTAAGCAGATAAATTCGTGTTAATTGACAGAATGAAAGCGAAAATGTTAATGCTTTTTTTTGTAGCTTTCTGGTCAACCAATCGAATGATTAAATTTCCGTCAGCTGGGTGTCGATTGTTTGGCCAACGCTGCTGCTAGCTGTCTCTTGCCCGCTGTGCTCTATGCTAATTTTCTAGTTCCGCAAGTGGTTTCGGTGTTCGCTTGCTATTCCTTTGGAATATGGAAAAGGCAATTAAAAACAATACTGTAGATGTACAAAGTAGGGAATTCATTGAAACGTGTGGTTTGTAGTAGAATGTGGTACGTGCCTATGCTTTGTTTTTTTTTATAATTTTTGAGCGCTAATTTTAGAGTTTTCATGTCTAAGAGAGCGGGTGTGAAAAAAGTAATGACAAAGATAACGTCATGTACCAAGGGGAAAACATTCTAGATTGTAACTATAAATAACAGGTTTATTCAATAAGTGTTTAAACTAAGTAAAGAGAGGCGATCAATCGGGGATTTTTCGAATTTAAAGAGCGGCTACCAATTTGCTTAGGCACATAAGTTAAGTATTTCGTGAACGTGCATCCGGTTATTGATCAAATGGATTGCATATTTTAACTTTTTTTTAAGTACCTATTAGGGCATTCAATCCCGAAGCATTTTAACAATCCCGGGATTTCGGGATCCAAAAATTCTAATCCCGGGATCCCGGGATTTTTCGGGATTTGGGCTTTATCACAACTTTTGAATTTAACAGTAGGTTCGCCTTTTTTAAACCACACAGATTAATTGTCACCGTTTTTGGTCTTACAGGGAGCATAATGCACGTTAGTAAAAGAGTCCGTAATTTTATGTCTAAATATTTTTATAGTATTCTTAAATATATATATTGATTGTAAAAACCCCTTACTAGTATCTACAGAAATTTATTTTACACAAAACACCAACAAAATAAAATGAGGAACAACCCTTCCACACTGTAAAATCTTGTTGTGTTATCAATTGCTACCAGATTTTTCGTTATTACACAATTCTTCCAAAAAATTTTTGAACAAGTACAGAAATTCAGGCAGGTTCTGAAATTCATGTCCAAGTGCAAATGGCATAAGTTCACTTTGAATCAAAATTTTGATGTTCTGTATATCTAGTTTTTCATGTCAAATTAATTAATTTTTTCGTTTTCAGCATCTCTTTTATTCCGTAAATAACTCAGTAAAAATCTCGGGATCCCGGATCTGTAATCCCGGGATTTCGGGACATGGAAAAGTGTCCGGGATCCCGGAATCCCGGGATTCTGGATCCCGGGATTGAATGCCCTAGTACCTAAAGTGTTGAAATAGTCGAGCACAGATTTGAATATAATAGGTAGAGCCCGGATTTTTATACGCTAAAAAAGCGAAATTATACGCATATAATGTGCACTAAAAAAAATAAAAATATGCACTAAAAACTGAAAAATATGCACTAAAAACAAAAAAAAAGAATAAGCAAAAACACCTTTCGCATTTGTTTTGCTTTTTTTAATTTTTTTTTATTTAATTTTCGTATTTTATTACAAGTTTATAATTGACATAAAGATATATTGTAATTTTTAGTACCACGAAAAACTCAAAATTAATTAAATATATATCTAAAATTTTAAAATGTAGATGTATTAAAAAAAAATTAAGCACTTAAAGTAAAAAGTAAAAATTTCATTTACAATAAATTAAATAGCAATATTTGATTTCCATATTTTTTTTATTTATTTGCTGTGTTCAGGGCTTTATTGGCAAACAAATAAATAGTTCTTTAAAATTTTGAAATTTAAGGCTTTTCCTATTTGGCAGCAAAAATAGTTTGTATAAGGAGAACTTTCTTTCTACGTCAACACTGATGATTGGGGCGTACTTTAAGCAAGCTAGTTCATTGGGATTATAGCGATTAAGCAGGGATCACACGATTTGTACATTTGTACTAAACTAAACTAGACTACTAAAACTAGTCTAGTGACAAGTGACTTCTGCTTAGCTTTTTCGAGCCTTTTCATTCTGGAAGTCGTCGAGGCAGGGAGTGTAAAATAAATCCGGGGTTTGCACAATAATCACAACCGAGTTGAAGTCCAAAAACCCAAAGTCAGTTGTACCGCTGGTAATAATTTGTGGTCAAGGCAATGTTTTATTTCAATCAATAAAAATTTTACCACACCAAAGGTCGATCAAATTTGGTAATCCAAAGAACTCACACCTAATATGGATCCCGAGTGCAATCAAGCACATGTCTGGGTTTTCCCAGAAGAAGATAAGATTTTCCGGTAAGAAACAAATATTCAAGTAAAATATAGTAATGCATTTAAATAAGTCTTGTGATTATTCGGTCCTGTAGGTTTAATTGGTTCAAAAGAAACGAACGGCAGCGAGGAGCTTTTCAGAAAGCAGGGGAATAGATCTTTACCGATTCTGCCATTCAGTTTATAAATAGATTGCGCACGACAATTCGAACATCCCATGTGAAAACACACAGGTGGCGGAACTTTTAAAACCCGCAAAAAAATAAAATAAAAATCTACGTCATTTAATTAAGTAGTACTATTTAAAATCAAATTAATTTGCATTGTTGTGAGATGGTCACTTTATGTTAGTTATCACTGCATTCATTGATAACAATTAAAAGTCAAAATTGAGCGGCATTTGCTCATGCTTAAAGAAACATGTGTACATGTGCATGTACATATATCCACAATTAGTATATATTTATATGCATATGCACGTATGTATCCCTGGAGAGTCAGTCAAAGATCCCAACAAAAGGGCATCCAGTAATTGTAATTAGTGTGGCCAGAAAACGTAATTTTTTTGTGAAAAGAAGAACAAAATGAATCAAAACAATTTTTTTTTTTGCTGAAATAGCGATACAAAGAATATATTTGAGTGGATGAAGTAATTATAATGACAGAATAATAATACTTAATAATTTTCGCGAAAAAAAAACAGGGACACCAAGGTAAAATATCCAAATTAAAAGCAGAAGCAGCAGATCCCAGTGCCAACCACTGCATTTCGGAGGCTTCTCAAACGGAGCACTGCGTTACCGACAAGTATGTATGTAATTCTTTGTTACCTTTTCTATTATTATTGTTCTTGTTAAGTTACTCATCGCTCTCTTATGCGTTAAAACAAAACAAGGAAAATAGTGAATGAATATACACAGTTTTTTTTATTAGTCATAATCGTAATATTGTTTTTTTTTCTTTTATTTACTAGTACGATAAGTTAAGTTTAAAATTACATTAGGGCAGTAGATCATTAAGAAAGAAAAACGTATTATTGAAATTGCAAATCTACCACCCTTATACTATATACATATAGCTATATTAGAGTAACTATGTAATAAACAGTATATAATGAATTGCTAAATCCCGGGTGCGTATTTTGTTCGAAACTCATGCGGTCTAGGTTGGTTGGATTTTGGATATCTTTGAACTAAGGCACGCAACTGAAGCAGCGGACCATTGCCAGTGCACACGCCGTCGCGAACGAGACACTACTAGGATGCCTCAGAAAAGTGTCATAAAGGTCGATTATAAAGGGAAGTTTATAACATATGGTAACCAATTTTTCCTTAATTTTTTGCCCAAGTTCACCCTGCACACCTTGAATAGTATTAACAGCTTTCTCCATAAGATGCACTTGTTCAGCCAATAATTTTTTTTCTTCTATTTTAGTTATTATTTCCCACAAGAAGCTGTAGTTTGCATTGCTATAGGCAAAGCGTGGTTCAATCAAATTTGAAGCTATTGCTTTTTTCGCCTTCAATATTGAAGAAGCATCAATATCATTTAGATCTTTAAGAAAGATTTGAAATTCCTTAAAGTGTAGGCAATAATATTCTGTCGCCTCTAACCCCGCCTCGTTAATCTTGGCGGAAGAGCGATATTGAGATACATGTTCATAAAAGCTGCAACGCGCAAAACAGATTTTAAAAATATTTTTTCCCCTTTCGAGATTAAATCGTCAACGTCACTGAAGCGAGCTCTTACATTTTCGGCCACCCGGTGCATTGCGTACCAAACAAGTAACGTGCAGTCACTTTTGGTAAAATACCTTCAGCGCCTTTGCTGATTATACCATATCGAGCCCTAATCGCCAAAAAAACGTAAGCGGCAAAATATGTAAGAATATGCACTAACAAATCGATGTCATCGTAACACAAAACTCTTCATTCGCAACATTTGTTAATCTTTAAGTTCCTATGACTTACCAACAAATATATTTAAATGCATAGAAATCCGGGCTAACCAATACACCACAGAATATAATACTCATATAATCTAGACCTAGCTAGATCTGTAATATAAAAAAAGAGAATTTCCCAGTCAATGTTGAAATTTTACCCTAAATACAAACCAAAGCATGGTCTTATCTAGACAAAGGTTAGGTAAGGTTAGTTATTCTGGCCGGCTGACCGCCCTACATAGACCGATAAGTCGCTAATGATGCCAGCTGGAGATAAAGGTTCCGTTAAGTATATTCGAAGTATTCATCATTTAGGATGTCAACGCTCTTTGAGAATTTCAGTATTTCTTGAAGCCCAAGTGTCTTGAAGACATGACTCAAGTTTATTAAACTCTAGAGCTACAAGTTATTTCAATCGTGTTTTCGATACAGCAGAACAAAGACATAGGATGTGTTCTAGGATCTTCCTTGTTCCCGTCCCCATGCATTTCCTGCAAACTTCATTGAC